TCCTCCAGCCCTGCTGGCTTGCTGCTGCTTCTCCTTTTTAAAAATGTCTTATTTATATTTATTTTTGCACTACTGGGGATCCAACCCAGACACCTCGCATGTGCTAAGCAGGTGAGCTACCACCAAGCTACATTCACAGCCTCGTTCTTTTTTTGTTTGTTTGTTTTTTAAAGTAGGCAGATGTCTCCAAACCTCCCTTTCCCCAACAAAACATTCCCAAAATAGAAGTTAAATGATGTTTATAATCAAATATTAAACTGACTTCTTTTCAGAAGTGCAGCCAGCCAGCAAATACACAAACACTCCCATGTAGTAAGGTGCCAGGTGTTTGAGATACACAGAAATATAAGAATGAGCCTTTGAGAAATCACATTTTACAACCAAAGCCTACACAAAGACCCCACTACATACCCAATGGCAATCATCAAAAAGACGACACCAAGTGCTAATGCAGGGGACGTGGAGAAGCTGGAATCATCACGCGTTGTTGGAGGGGTGAAATGCTGCAGCCCCTTTGGACAACAGTTTGCCAATATCTTAAATAGCGAAACATAAACTTACTATGGAATCCAGCATTTCTGCTCCTAGGAATCTGCTCGAGAGAAATGAAAACCTGTCTGCACAAAGACTTGCATGTGAATGTCTATAGCAGCATTATTCATAACAGCACAAACTGAAAATAGTCCAAATGACCGTCAAGTGATGGAAAGGAGAATAAAAGGTGGTATATTAGTACATTGGGATGTTATTTAGCAATTAAATGAAATACCAATCCAAGGTACAACAAACCTCAGAAATATTACGCTAGGGATGGGGATGTAGCCCTGTGGCAGAGTGCTTGCCCAGCATCAAGGAGACCGAGTTCAATCCTCAGTAGTGAGAAAAAAATATATGCTAAGTGAAATGCCAGATGCAAAGGGCTACATATCATGGTTCCATTTATATGAATCTGGAAATGCAAATTCACTGCGATAGACAGCAAATCTATAGTTTGCCTGGATCTGCAGATAAGAACAGGGATTAACTGCAACTGGTTATGAGAAAGGCAGCTTCTGGGAATGATTGCTTTGAAACTAGATGGTAGAGAAGATCACACAGCTCTACATTTACCAGAGTTGTTTAATTGTACCATTATAAGGGGGAAATCCTATGGGAGATAAAATTTTACCCCAGTAAAGTTATTAAACTTTTTTAAAAGTAAGGTATACAGCATAATTAAATAATCAGGGTTTTTTTCCTATGCTAATAGAGACACACTATGGTCAAAGTGTGGTCTGCAAAAATTAATGGGAAATTCTACATGCTAATAAACATGAATGTTAGCATAGCATAGCAAATAAATATATGCAATTAAATTAATATGTATATTGACACATTTCAAAGCTGTAGAAAAAAAAGAGGAGATGTGATTCATGTGACTATTCAGATGCATCTGGCATTGAAATGTGTTGTAAATTAATGAGAATTTTATATATAATAAATGCCAGCAATTCAAGTTGAAAAAAAAATTATATATATAGTCTGCAGACCGTTGGGTTCCCTAAGGAGCTATTTGTCTTTTTCGTTGTGTGACATCTGTACTAGTGGTACAATAGCAGCAGTAGATAAACTGCTGGTATCTAAATTGAGGCAGTGGCATGAAACCTTGTTAGTATTTGCTATGATTTGATTGCGCTTTGCCTCCCAAAGATTCATGAGCTGGAGGCCTGGCCCTTAGTGTGGCATGTTGAGAGATAGTAGAACCTTTAAGAGGTGGGGCTCAGTATGAGGGAAGAGGTCATTAGGGTCATTAGGTTGCTGGGGCACTGACCTCTGAAGAGACTAATGCTGGTCTCAGGAAGTTATGTAACTATCTTGAGAGTGGGTTGTTATGAAGCATGCACACTTGGCTCCTTCTGCACAGAGCTATTTCCCTTTCTGTTTCTCGATCATGTTGTCTTGCAGCCAATGGGTCCTCACCAGAGGCAGAACAGATGGGCTGCCTGATCTTGGACTTTCAGCCTCAAACTAAACTAAATAAACCTCTTTTTAAAATACAATACTCAGCTTCAGGTATTTTGTTACAGCAATAGAAAACAGACAAATATAGTAGTCATTGTATTCACCACTACCATGGACTCATAGCAGAAAAATATAGACTATTTTCATTTCAGAATGGCCTTGATGAAACAGTACAAATTATTTAGTTTTATTAGTTTAGTAAATCTGGAGAGCTTGGACACATCTTTTTGATAGTCTTTGTGATAAAATGGGAAATACACAGAATGCATTTCCTCAACATACCAAGTAAGATGGTTATTATGAGGAAAGCACTTGTACAGTTGATTGAGTTGCCAGCTAAACTAGCAGTCCTTTTTTTTAAATAGATGTCATTACTACTTAAAAAAAAAAAATCCTAAAAGATAAATCACTGATATTCAGACCTGGGGATTTGGCTAATCATTTTCTCAAAAATGAATGAAGAGAGCTTGTAAGTTTCAATTAAATAACTGACAGTCTTTGTTGCCAGTGATAAAAGTCAAATAGTAAACCCAAAACTAGAATTTTTGGAAAATTTTTATATCCACCATCATGAGCTTGACAGTGGCAGTCAAGAATTTTCTGATAAGATGGACAGTGGTATCAATAAATGAAAAAAAAAATTCATATGGTGTAATGAAATGTGTCAAAATTTGAAGATTATAGGTAAAAAGGCTTTGATACTAAAAAGTTAGACAACCACTGGCTTGGTGGAGAACAGCTTGGACTCTGGAGCCAGAGGACTTAATTTCAAATCCCAATCCTTCTACTTAGCACTGGTTGCTCTCAGAGAAGTACTACACATCTCCAGGCCTTGGCTTGCTTATTTATAAACTGGGGACAACGATGGTACCTCTCTCAGAGGGGTATTGTAGGCATGGAAATGAGTTTATATATAAATATTTATGAACAATAAAGTAATACATGTAAATCATTTTGAATAGTACCCGACTTATAGTATGTGTTCAGTGTTACTGTTAGTTTTGGTGAATTAAAAATTAATACATTATGAATGCATAATAGAAATATTTTGTAATTGTGTGTGTATGTGTGTGTTTCAGCTGGGGCTTTGCCCCTCTGGTCCTGGGAGTACATACCTGTGAGTGACGCAGTGCTGAGGACAGGTGGTCCTCTCTCCTGACTGTCCATTGAGCCACTGTTGTCTGGGAAATTTTTTCTTTGCTTAACAACTACACAATAGGTATTCAAGGAAGATTTGATGAGGCAATGTAATTATAGTCTTTGCTTTTAATAAACTGAATAACAATAGACTACAATTGTATATCACTTAGATTCTTAGAGTTAAGAATACAAGTTTCCTTTCCTGTCACGGCAGTTTTGAAAATTTTGGTATCATCATTTAAGCTCACAGAGTTTGGGAGATGGGCTGTGGATGTAGCTCAGTGGTTGAGCACTTGTTTAGCATATGCCAGGCCCTGGATTTGGTCCTCAGTACCATGAAAAAATAAAAATAGTTTGGAGATTGGGTGAATGGAGAAAAAGGATCAGGGTCTACCATCTCACACAGACCCATTTTCGGAATTGAACCTAAGAGGACAGACAGTTTAAGGGAGAAAATATACAACTTGGAAGGACATTTGTCCTCAGCCCTGCAGGGAGCTATTTTCATCTTTTTAAAGAGAAGTAAATTGTTTGTTGACAAAGTCGGTCAGTCTGCCATTATCTGCTGAGCACCTTCCATGAAGAGCCAGGCATCCCAGCCCCCTGTGGTGGGTAGAGAGGGACAGGCCCTGCCCTTCTAGAGCTAGTGCAATGATAGTTTTCCAATTTCTTCCACCTGTTTTGTAAAAGACAAGATAGTTCATTACATCAGCAGCAGAGGAGGCAGTATATATTTCACACTTCATAAATGCTCCTGAAAACATCGTTAAGTTTAATGTAAGGTTGGGAAGATAGGAGACACGACAAGAGAATTATGGTAGTTTCTTTTCCTAGAAAAACATAAACAAAATTACCACATGTTTTAGAGAGCTGCAGATAAGCTCATGTTTGATGATAAATAACAACCACAGCATAAAAGTCATTGGAACTTCATTGGCATAACTACCTTCAGATTGTCTTGGGAGAAATAGGAAGGTAAAAGAGTCCATTTGGGGACATCTGTTCTACTTGTCATCTCACGTCCCTCCACATGTGATGATGTGGAGCTGGACCACAGCAGTTTTTATTCCTCCCCATAGACGGGGTCTTAAATCATGGCCATATCTTGAGTTCCTTGAATATCTGTTGTCACCTGTTACCGAGGGTCAGAACAGTCTTTGCTTTTAGTTGGCGGGTTAAGCTTTGTAAGGAAATTTGAAGTACTTTGAACATTTCCCAACAGAAGAGCCATGTAGTCGAGGTAGTGTGCTTCCTGATACGTGGCACTTTATGATCTGAGAGCATCTCTCTGCCATGTGGCTGGTATACTGAGAATAAAGAAATCAGATAAGGTGAAAAGCCAAAGAAATGCTTCTTGCATACAGTCTAGAATTGCATTTTATTAATTCAGCTGAGTTCAATCCCACTACTTGTTGTGGGGTGAAAAGAGTCGTTATTTTTAGTTGTGTTCTTGGCCTTGTCACAGCTGGGGACTTGTGCAAAGTTGATGTCCCTGTAACTACAGTTTGTCTTTCACAAATAAAACACAATGAAGTCCGTTCACCTGGCCAGTGACCCTGACTGCTGCTCCTCTTTTTGACGTGAGAACCTTCTGTTCTTTGACTCTCTGGCTATTAGAATTGAGGAGTTGAACACTAGCAGCACAGTGTTTTCTAAACAGTCATGGCTGTTATAAAGCTAATTCCTCCTTCTGGACAGTGTTTCCTGTTAAAATGTCTGGCAGGCTCCACCGTGTTGTGTGACATCTTTGCAAGGACTCTTGTCCTCGTGAAGGAACCACTTTCTGTGATGAAAATTCATGCTATGGTTTAATTGCGGATTCTGATCTTGTCTCGTATGTTTGTGTTTGTGTGTTTCAGGAAAAAAGTGCCAGCTCAAATGTAAGACTTAAAACTAACAAAGAGATTCCTGGATTAGTTCATCAACCCAGAGCAAAGTAAGTTCTAGTTCCGACTTTCCTTATATTGTTTTTAAAGCTGAAATTGTTTTCAGAGTGAGCTCCATTTTGCCTACCTGGTAATAAAGACTTATTATAAAGCTTTAGTAAAGCAGACAGTGTGGCCCCAAACAGAATAGAGAGTCCCCAAACACACAATTCTTGTGAAAGCTGACAGTTCCAGGCCAAATTGAAGAAAAGAAAGAGAAATAGCTTCATGATTGTGGGACAGAGAAGAATTTTGAGTAAGACGCAAAAGGTGTCAATTTTAAGGAAAAATCAATGTACTACCCTGAAATTAAGAACTCCTACGTATCAAATCAAGAGAGACCACAAAATGGAGAAGACCATATAAATGACAATAACTGGGTTTCCAGAACATAGAAAAGAATTCTGCAAATGAATAAGGACAGAGACACTGTGGACCAACAGGCTTAAGACACCAACTGCCATTTGAAGGAAAAATGTGAATGGTTAATGTATATGAAAAAAAATGTTGCATCTTACCACCAGATTTGCAAGAATCAGACATACAGAAAGTTGACCAGGATGTGGAACAAGAGAAATTCTTAACCTCTGCTCATGGGAATATGAACTAGTGATTACTTTGGAAAACCATTTACATTGTCTAATAAAATTGAACCTTTACCCTTCACTCCCAGATGTATTGCCTCAAGAAACTCTTATAACATCCATGCCAGGAGACATATTTTGAAACATAGCATCATTGTTTACATGAGCTTTTGAGGATAAAACCAATGTCTATCAAAAACATAATGGGTAACAAAACTGTGACATATTTTTATGGTGGGTATATTCTACATTGGTGAGAATGAATGGCCCATCCCTACACATTGAGTCAGAGGAAACTCAAAAACAGAATGAAGCAATATATTGTATTTAAGTATAGATAAAACAATAAAGAATAGCAAGGGCATGAAAAGTCATTAAATTCAGAACAGTGGTTCCTTCTAATTGCTTATGGGTAGTGATTATGTGGTTTTTCTTTAATAATTATTTTTAAATGACCAAATAACATATTTTCTATGTGTTTTGTATTTCACAATTAAAAAGTTTAAAAAGGGCTGGAAATATAGCTCAGTGGTAGGACAATTTCACAGAGAGAGTGAGGTTCAGTTCAAGCCTGGGGGGGTGGTGCGTGGGAAGCATTTAAAGAAGTAGTAAAAGAAGAAAGATCCTCAACTAAAAAAAGAAGAAGAAGAAGAAGAAGTCATATCACATGAAACACTTCCGAGTTTCCTCTGACTCAATGTGTAGGGATGAGCTATCCATTCTCACCAATGTAGAGCATACCCACCACAAGAACATGCCACAGTTTTGTTACCCATTATGTTTTTGATGGACATGGTTTTATCCTCAAGAGCTCATGTAAACAATGATGCTATGAATGTTTCGCTACATTTCTTTGATGAATGGGGCACTTAAAAATATAATTATTGATTACCAACAAATGACAGTCCACAAATATTTTAATAAAATAGAGAATGCATTTTTTTAAGTTAAAAATAACTAGTAGTTTTCTAAATTGTTCTAGAACTGACTACCTTGACAATGAAATGTACTTTCTGCAGCCAGGAAGCTATCTCTACTGTGGTGTTTTTGTTAATCAGCTCTTCATCACTGTGACCAGAATACCCAATAAGAGCCGCTTAAAGGAGAAAACAGTTATTTTGGTTCATGGTTTTAGAGGGTCAGTCCATGGCAGGCCAAATCCATTGCTCTGGGCCAAAGATGATGCGAGCATCATGGCAAGAGGGCATGGCAGAGGGGCACTGCTCCACTCATGACATCCAGGAAGCAGAGAGGGGGAGGAGCCACAGGGAAGATGTACCTTTCCAGGGCAAGCCACTGTGACCCACCTCCTCCAGCTGCACCCCTCCTGCTCACAATTACCACCCAGTTAGTCCATCCTAACTGGGATCAGGTTACAGACCTCATAATCTAATTGTTTCACCTCTGAAATTATTAATGCATTAATACAGGAGCTTTGAGGAGAAAAAACTATGCCAGTGTTCCACCTAAATATGAACCAATTACACAGGTACAGATGGCATAGTTGCCTCCTACCTCAAAATCAATTTGACTACTGCATGTTCGAGTTAATAAGCAAAAGAAGTCATTGTATCTCTGGGCCTTCTGAAAATTTGAAGCAAAAATAACCTCAGTCATAACCCCTTTAACCTAGCTTAATATCTGTGCATGGCCGCAGCCAGGGCCACCTGGCGGGTAGAGGTTGGTGATTTAATTTTTACTTTTGGAGAAAACTGAACTCTTTAAAATCCACTTAAGTGGTTTACAATGTCAGTGTAATGATATCACCTTTTCTTTTTCACCCTTAGGTAAATGTTGTTCTATAACCATGACCTCCCTATTGTGCCTCACTACTAATCACTTTTGTGCACTTTGTCTGCCTTTGGGGACAACAGATATCTGATAACAGCCAGGTCCCCTTTTCATCCACGCCCTCTGAAGATGGGAGAACACAGGCCAGCAGTAGAGTGCTTGATTAGTCTGAGTTTGATCCCCAGCCCTGAAAACAACGACAAAGTCATTCAAGGCCTCTGAAATACACTGTTTTGATAGATTGATTGATTGTGATGCTAGGGACTGAAGCCAGGGCTTCACACACACTGGGCAAGTGCTGTACCACTGAGCTTCACCCACAACCCTGTGCCATTTCAAATGCTTGTCTCATGTCTGACTTACATGGAGCGATTGAATGGGGAGTATTTATTTCTCTGCCCCATTATTTACCTTTGACACACTGACATGGCACACTTTGTAGACTACACTGTGCCGCAGCTTTCAGGGAAGTTTATTAAATTGGCTCATGTGTTTACATTAAAATTATGAAGAAAATCCTCTGTTTTCTACACAGCAGCATGCTCACTTGTGTATGTGTTTTAAACTGAATCAGAACATCGGGTACCTGAAATTCAGCTAAGAAATCTTTCTGGAAGGTCATGGGAAAAGTTTTACTTTTCATCCTCTGACATGTAAAGACTCAAGAAAAATCATCTTTTACGATGCAGATAAATGAGATAAGATAAGGCCGCGGGTATAGGTCAGTGGTAGAGAGCATACACTTGCCCAGTGTGTGTGAAGCCCTGGCTTCAGTCCCCAGCATCACAATTAGAAAATCTTAATGTGTTTTTGAATGCAGGTTCCTAATATTTTACTAAGGAGTTTTGCATCTTTGTTCATCAGGGATATTGAGCTGTAGTTTTCTTTCCTCGGTGTGTCCATCTCTGCCTTTGGTTACAGGATAATACTAGGTTTTCCTAGGATAAGTTTGGGGGTGTTCCCCTCTTTCTATTTCATAGCATAATTTGAGAAGGATTGCCATTAGTTCTTCTTTAAAGATCCGTAGAACTGAGCTGAGAATCTCTCTGGTCCTGGGCTTTTCTTTTCTGGAAGCGTTTATTTTTGCTTCAATCTTGTCACTTGCTACTGTTCTGTTTTGGTTCATGCATATCCTTTTGGTTTGAGTGTCATATGTGTCTAGAAATAAGGAATGGGAGAAAATCTTTGCCAACTACTCTTCTGACAAAGGATTAGTATCTAGATTACATAAAGAACCAAAAGAAATGCCAAAAATCAAATAATACAATCAACAAAAGGACAAACAGACATTTCTTCAAGGAAGAAATGCAAATGGCCAACACAGGCATGAAAAGTGTTCAACATCCTTAGCAATCAGAGGAATGCTAACCAAAACTACACTGAGATGTCATCTCACTCCAGTTAGAATGGCAATCATCAAGAATATAAATAATATAAATCCTGGCAAGAATGTGGGGAGACAAGAACACTTACATATTGTCGGTGGGACTGCAGAATAGTACAACCACTATGGAAATCAGTATGGAGATTCCTCAACATATTAGGAATGGAACCACTCTATGAGTCAGCTATTCCACTCCACTTTTGGTGATTATCCAAAAGAACTGAAGTCAGCATGCTGTAGTAAACCTGCATTTCATTGTTTACAGCAGCGCAATTCACAATAGCAATGTTATGGAAACAGCCCAGATGTCTGTCAACAGATGAAATGATAAAGAAAATGTTGTGTGTATATACAGACTGTGGTATAGGTACCCGGCCATAAAGAAGTTATGTCATTGCTGGTAAAGGGATGGAAACAGAGAGCATCGTGCCAAGTGAAGCAAGCCAGACTCAGAGAGCTGAGGGATGAATGTTTTCCCTCATATAGAGAAGTGAGAGAGAAATAAGGGATGAGAAAAAGAGGGATCTCACAAAAACGGAAGGGAGAATAGGAGAGGAGAGGAAGGGGGTAGAGATTGAGGAAGAGGTAAAGAACTGTGAAATGAAATTGACCAAATTATGTAATGTGCATATACATATATGTCACAATGCATCCCACTTTATGTGTAATTATAATGCACCAGTTAAAAATAAATAGGGCTGGAGTTGGGTAGAGCACTTGCCTGGCATGTGTGAGGAACTGGGTTCAATTCTCAGCACCACATATAAATAAATAAATAAATAAATAAATAAAAGGTCCATCGACAACTAAAATATCTGTATACATATAAAATTTAAAATAAATAAATAAAACAGATAGAAGACCAGTCATGTAGACAAAGGAGACCAAGGAGAGGAAGGAGGGAGGGAAAGGGTGTTCCTGTAAATGACATGGGGCAATTTACATTAAGTGTACATGCGAATGTGTCACAGTGAATCCTACTATTAAGTATAATTTTAATGCATTAATAAACACACAATTTTAAAAATATAAAGACAATTAAGTAAGATAGTGAGACTCCCCACACACACCATGAGCAGAAAGACAGTCGCATTCCACAAAGACAGGTAACCCTCATCCCTTCACTTGATGCCAACGTAGGGCACATTCTTAGTAGCTTGTTATCTTGGGCAGGTCTTTGAGTTTCCATTTTCTCAGGCAAAATTGGAAGTGAAAAATTCTGTGTCTAATAAGGCTAGGGATTAAATGAAAATAATATATGCCCAGTGCTTGGTGAAAATGTCTTTCATAATTAGAAAATAAATAAATAAAGCCCTGTTAACAGGAGGCTGGATAAATGAACCGCACTACACTCACATAATGGAGTGTTAGTCAGCAGTTTAATCAAATGTTCTGCAGCTTTGCACAATGCCAGATAGACCCTAGAAATATATTATTAGAGGAAAGAGTAATTCCTAAAGTATTACACAAGGCTTGGTGCACTCTTTATAACGTTAAAACAACTAAAACGGATAATTGGCTCTTTAAAAGCTCACATAGGGATGCAGGGAAACCAAATCAAAGTCAAGTGACAGAGGGATGGCCACACTGGCATGGCAGAGCACACACAGTGGGGACTAACGTGGAGTTAGCCGTAGCTGGTTGTCAGGGTTCTAGCTGTTGCTTTTGTTTGGGCTTCGGGGGTGCTTATTATACTGTTGAGGTTTTTGTTTTTGTTTTTGTTTTTGAAACAAAATAATTAACTCAGTCAATAAAAGTGAGCTGTGTAGGAGTTTGCAGTGAAATGAAGATTAGGATGAATGTTCCCAGAAGTCCACTTGAAAGCTAATGATGATCATGGAGGTATAACAGGATTCAGGCCAAGACTTAGCAGGAACCCACTGGGTGACTCAGCTGCACTGTTGGAGATGAAGGGGAGGCGAAACTTTACCCCCTGTCCACCCCACCACGGGGGTTTCCAGCCTGAACTGAGTTGACAGATGAACAGGAGAGAAGCACACAGAGAAGCACAATAGCAATGTTATGAAAACATGTACATGTGCCCAGGAGCCCTCATGGGAAAAGGAAGATCCAAAGAAGGAGCCACACCAAAGTGCTTCTACACTAGGTTGGACAGAAAGAGGCCATTGTGGAAAAGAACCTGAAGTACGTGGGGAGACAAAGGAAAGTCAGAGTGATTCTAACAAGGTCTGTTTGTACGGAATCCTCTCGGCTCCGATTCCCCATCTCTAGTACTAAGAAGACTTCTTTCCTCCTGGCACAGGGAGAGCATCCAGCAATGGCAGTTTTATTTTCCTGCCTTCAGGAAGAAAGGGTGCCCTCCTGCAATCATGGTTTTTTAAGTATCTTGAACTCAAATAATCACTGTGCCAAAGTGGCATGTTTGAGGGTGGTATATTCTTCCATCCTTCACAGGTGACGTATTATTAGAACCTAGCTTCCTCTTTATTGAGGGGGTGGGGGCTTAGGCTTTTATTATTTAGAGACTGTATTTTTTTTAAATTTGTTTGTTTATTGCAGTGCTGGGGATCAAAGCCAGGACATTGCACATGCCAGGCAAATGCTGTACCCTTGAGCTACATCCTCAGCCCTGGAAACTTTATTTTTTTAAATCATTACAAATGATAGTCATAGATCCTTTAGTCCCAAAGCCCATTTTGGCCACCCTTCCTTAATTTATTTTGCATGAAGACTTCATAGTGTTCTCTCCATAGTCCCATGAAGCTGAGAGGTCCCAAAGAAGAGACTTCAAGGGTGCAGGGTTAGCTCACGGAGTTACACAGCACAACTGGGGACACAGGAGGTGCTCCAGAGAAACATTGCCTTCTGTAAGGTAGAGAGAGTTTCATCAGGTACCAAGGTATAAGCTTTTGTAAAAGATTTCTAGGGATAATGAATCTCAGAGCCAGGTATAAACTGATGTTTACAGTAAACTTAAGTCATAAACAATTCAATAGCCCCTGTCTGTTTCTTGAGGACAGACAAGGAAGCCAGTAGGCCTCATCTCCTCTCCCCGCCCCAGTCACAACCATCAAATTGCACATTGGAAAGATTTTAAGAATCAAGTTGTTACCCAGGGACAGCTCCTCACAGTGCAGCTTTTATTCTCAAAAGTGAACACTAATATTAATGCTGCTATGTTGATCAGGTTTCCACATGGGAGGATAAGATCTGTGTTTATCCAGGTGAGAATCAATTGATTTGAAGCAGATTAATTCATCAGGATAAAAATTCTGTCTCTGCCCCTGTTGAAAAGATTTCTGTTCTTCTATCTGGAATGAACCCATGCAGAACAGAGAAGTAAGCCCCCTACTTTCAGATTTCACCACACAGGTAGCTGGGGCCCCGTGTGGGCATTTGCTCCTCTGGCAGTGTGTACCACACTCCCGGTGACAGCAGAGTTGAGAGCTTGTCTAGTGCACGGGGGTCTGATAATAATAATTCTTATCCAGTTGGTAATGAAGTACTGATTTCAAGGTGACAGGAGTGACCAGTCTAGTGTGTAACTCTGCTCAGTGGGTCAATGACTGGAGAAAAGGCCGGTAGGCATGTTCTGATGCACTCAGATGAAGGAAAAGCAGCCAGCATTTCCATGACGCAAAATCGAAACCACTGATGCTTTTTGTATTTGCGTCACCATCCTGAGGTCTGTGGTCTTCACCTGTGGTCTCCAGCCCTGCTACAGACCCCTGAGCCTGCAATCAGTGATCACAGAGATGGCAGACATGTTTACAGAGTTAAGATGCCCTCACTTGTCCCCCTGAGGTGTGTATGTATTAGTACTCACCAAATGTCGCGGTTTTCATGTTGTGACCATTAAATAAAGAAGCCAATGGAACTCAGTAACAGCCATGGGTGCTTAGCGGTAGACAGGACCTCAGAGACCAGCCTGCTGGCTTATAGATGAAGAACCTGGGACCCCGCATCTCACCCGAGCTAACCAACTGTGCTGCCTCTCTGAAGGGTCACGAATCACATGAATTGAAATAGAGAATACTTTGTCAATTAGTTAACAAATATTTATTGCCTTCCTATTACATGCAAGGTGATATAGCCTAGAACCTCAATCAGAAAATTTTGACTATGAACTCTAAATGACCTAAAAATGTCACTTTTTATGAGGTCTCTTGGGATTTCCAAGGGAAGCTATGTACACATATGCTTGTTGATCTATACTAAGATATCTATGTATATCTTTTTTAAAATATTTTTTTTAGTTGTTGATGGACCTTTATTTTAATCATTTATTTTTATGTGGTGCTGAGGATTGAACCCAGTGCCTCACACATGTGAGGCAAGTGCTCTACCACTGAGCCACAACCCAGCACCATATGTATATCTTAATGCCCTGCCTGTCCGGGGCCTGCAGCCGTCCAGCAACCTCATCTGTCAAGTCTTTGGCTAAGAACAGGAAGGACACCAAAAAGGTGTCTGAGCAGCCAAAGTGCATGCAGAAGGATTCACCTGGTGTGCTCACAGGAAGCCCCGGCTCCTCCCACAGAGCCCTGTGCACTAACTTGAGACACAGCTGAGCAAGTTGGCCAGACGGAGACCAAGCACGGATGGAAGCAGCAGTGGGGGAAGCTGAACAAGACTTTACACCTCTCAGACGTGAAGGGATGAGGGGAAAAATCTCAAAGGCCAGCAAAGAACTAAAACTCTGGAGTTTTGCTTAGAGGCAGCCAGCTCCACCCATGCAGGTGGCCCTGGCCAGATATTGTGGTGATTTAAGATCACAGGAATGGCCCTGAGTCAGTAAGTGAAAGTTGAGCAATGTCATAGTGGATCCTCTATTAAGACTATACAGTTTAGAAAGGTTTGCATCCAAAGCAGCTCCAACTAAAAAATGCTTTAGTACTTAAGAAAGTAAAATATAAGGGACCTGGGAAGTGGCCTTTCCATCCGAGGTTACAGAGAGAAGACTGGTCACTGCGTTATTATCCCAGACTCTGCTCTGCCTTTCAGACCTGTGTAAGATAGGTTCCATTCCCCAGACAGGACATGGACTTTATTTGAATGAGCATACAGAGGACGGCAAAATGAATGACCAAGTGCTTTGTGAACCGCAAAATGATTCATGGTGTCAGATATTTGCAATGATTTCCTTTTATATCAGAGCTGGTGCTCATGGACGTTAAATCTTGGTTTGACACGTAGGGCAGAACCTCCTCTGAGCCCCACTGTTACAGGAGGCCTGAAGAGTTCTGGGTCACTTTTCCCTCTCCCTGTGGTCCCTAAACTGTGAGGCATCGTGGTAAGGGTACATCAGATGGCTTCTGCCCATACCTGGCTTGAAGAGAAGAAGCCGTTCTAGAGCCCACCTCCACTCCCACCCCAAACAGTACAACCAGTAGGCACCAACAGTACCTGCAAGGAACTCTGCACATCTCTTACCCAGCATCCTCAGCCTCCTTGGAACACTCACAGCTATTTGCTCAGTAGAAACAGCCTTCCTTAAAACCATGTTGCCACTGTGGCCCGTCGTGCCCACACCCTTCCCATCCGTGATTGTTCTCTGCTCACCTTGCCTTTGTGGGTTTTGTCCCGACCAACGCGTCCACATCTCACTAAGCAGCTATTCCATAGCATAGGACAGAGAAGGCAAGGGCTGCTCAGACATGCCTCCTGACGAGCTCCCCGGTCCCCGTGCGATCAGTTCCAGACATTCATGGTGCATTCACTGTCACCAGTGCAGAAAGTGATAGGGGGCAACGTGGGGCCATCGCTGTGTCCTCTGTTTGTCTCCATCCCTCACCTGTACCGTCAGCCAGATATCAGGCTGATGCTGATAACCTCTGTAAAATACGCATTTCAATATAACTGGGATGGATTTCCTTTATATGTTACACACAGGGTTGAGATATGCCGTGTTCTGCTTGCCCTTGCTGTATTTCTTTTTAAATCACAAAGACAGGTACCTCCCAGAAACATTACTCTAAATAACATCTGTACACTGAAAGGAAATTGTATTCCTTAAATGGTAGGTACTGATAGACTACTACAAAACATATTTGCAGGATTACTTGTAATGACATTTATCCGTAATATAACTTCAGAGTATTTTAGTGAAAAGGTCTACAATAAATCAATGTCTGCCTCAAGTTTAGAGATTTGCCATTTTTCATTTGAGGGGGTTAGGTTTAAGGAAACATTGAAATATGTGCTTAACTACTGTCTGTTTTTTAGCATGCACATCTCTGAAAGCCAACAAGAATTCTTCAGAATGCTGGATGAAAAAATTGAAAAGGTAAGAAGTAAAATAAATTGATTATATGTTTTAAGGGAAGTAACTAATCATTTTATAAATTAGGAATAAAATATTCTTCTGTCTGTGTTGTAAGGCTTTTTGTAAGGGGATGTGTACAGAGTTAAAACAAAGAGTTTGGGTGAAAATTTGAGAGGTGATGGCATGCTGTCACTCATTAAAGTTGCAATGCTCTGAGTTCTTTAAAAAGTAACCAACCTCGGTTAATTCCTATCTCAGAATAATGGCTTGTTTATGTCCAGCACCCACCTGTACAGTGATGCTATAGGTAAACAGACAGATATTAACTACATTTCACAGACTAGGAAATGGAAGCTCAGGATGCTCTAGTAACAAACCCAGATTTGCAACTCTATTTGCAGTAATTACCCCTTACCCGAGGGTTCCCTTTCCACAGTTTCAGTTACCCACAGTCAAACAAGCTCCAAAAATATTATATGGAAAATTCCAGGAATAATGCATAAGTCTGAGATAATTTTGATTACAATGTGTTGCTATAATTGTTCTTTTTTTATTATTTACTGTTAATCTCTTACTGGGTCCAGTTTGTAAATTAAACTATATTATAGGTATGTCTGTCCAGTCATGCACCGTGTAATGATGATTTGGTCAGTGATGGTATTTACAAGGGTGGTCACATGAGGTTGTCACCTAGTGATTTCTGTCACCTAGTGATTTTTTTTTTAGCTGTCCTAATGTAATAGCACAACACTTATGTGTTTGTGGTGATGCTGCTGTAAATAGACGTACTGTGCTGCCAGTCACATAAAAGTGTGGGATATCCAATGTGTATGGTATGTAATCCTTAATAATGATCATAAGGGATGGTGTGACTGGTGTATGCACTGCCAACACTATACTCCTTATAGTTATTTTAGAGTGCACTCCTTCTAGTTAGCAAAAGGCTCGCTGTAAAACAAGCCTTGTTAAAAATGCCATGTTACCCCAGAAGCAGCCCCATGCTTCTCCTGCTTACTAAACCTCTTGATTGCATCCAGAAGCCACATCAAGTGGTTGACCTATACCATCTAGGTTTGTGTAGGTGCACTCTACAATCTTTGCATAATGACAAAATTACCTAATGATGCATTTCCGGAATGTGTCTTTATCATTAAGTGACATGTGATTGGTAGAGAAAAACAGAATATTTAGGGTTTGGTAACCTCCTCTGCTTCTGGAATCCACTGTGGTCTTGGAACATATTCTCCATATATGAGAGATGATCAGGTTGAAATTCCAGCCCAGCTCTGTTCAACTCTGTGTTGCTTCTCAAGCAGTGTTTGGATTTACATTGACAGTGAGATGCAGAGTTGATCTGTGTGGAAATGGAATACATAATTTTGATGTCAGATTGCCATATGCTAATCAACTGAATGAAACATGGAATATGGTAATATTGAAGGGCTTATTTGTAGAATTTAAATTCAACACTGCAGAGGAGTAAATTTTAAATGTTAAAGTTATAGATTTGAGTATTACAATCTGCAAACTTCATTCCAAAGAAGAGTAAAATCTAAATTTTAGTATCTCTCACTATGGTTAAGGCACCACAGGCTGATTTTACAATTTTTCAGTTTTAATTTTAATTTTTCTTGCTTTTCATGGCCCTTTTACCTGAGTATTTCTTGTGAGTTCCTAAGTTATGATACATATCACTTAACGGAAGATAATGAAGGAGGTCTTAAATTCATCAATGTCTCAGCAATAGACCCCATTTTGAGGTGGACCCCTGGAAGAATAACCAGTTGTTTAATCTTCTGCCCCTCTAAAACACACAGCAGATACCTCTAATGTGAAAAATAGTGGTGGATAATGAATTGAAATGGTAGTTTAAGTAAAGTGTTCCCCAGTTATGCATAAATATTTAAGATGACTTTTCAGATAGAAAACTTCATCTAGACGCAGTTACCAAGTTTTATGTATTGGTTCAAAAACTGTTTATTTGGCTTGTTGATAACATTTGTTTTAGTGAAGAGAAACATAAAAAGAAATATTTTGCTCCCACTGTAACAATGAAGATCTTTTCTTTTTCTGCTTATTTGGGTTTTTTCCCCCACTAGCTTCTTGGTAATAAAAAAAATCTGCTAGTAGTTAGTGGTAGGCTGGAAAAATTAAAACCTGAGTTTTAAGTTATCTTTTTAAACAACATTGACAAACTTATACAAGGCATTTAAGATGACCTAATCTCTTTCCAGCTTATTTCCATAATTGAAATTCTACCACCTTTTACTTAAAACTGTAGTTCACTTCTTCCATCTGAAATTTGATTTCTCTTTTTCCCTTTGCATCCAGGATGTAGACTATGTTGTGTTTAGTGGAACCAAAACAAAGTTTGTAATTTGATCGTTTACTGGATCATTCCCTGGACAAAGGAGCATTTGTAGATTCAACATAAACAATGTTTCCACTATTGAGTGTGTGTTTTCTGGTGGTGGTGATAGTGCTGTTGCTTGCTGTGCCAGGGATAGAACTCAGGGCTTGTGCAAGGAGTGTGCTAGACAGGGGCTCTACCTGTGAGCTACACCCCCAGCGTCAATACGTTTATAGTTAGAGAAAAGCTGTTGCTTCAGCTGACATGCACCCAGTTGATTTCTACAAGAATTTTCTCTCCTGAGCCATGCTTTTCTGTTTCTCTTCTCTTACCTAAAATTCATCCTTCTGAATATTTTGAATAGGCTATCCTATGTTATAATTTAAATATGAAGCATCTTCAAAAATCAGAATATTGCTTCTTAATATATGTGTTTGGTGTAGTGTCATCTTTGGTGTTTGTTTATATTGCCAAAATTGAAGCTTAGATTCTTCCAGATTTTTTCCTGGGCTTTTTCCATGGTTAAATATTTCTTTGGTCAAGGCTAGCATGAGGACAATAATGAATGTAGCTCAGATATATTCTTTGAGTTTTATAGGGTTGATTTAAAAAAAAAAAAGATTAAACTTGCCTAGAATTTTGAGCTGAGACACTGAGTCATGTGAGAGGCCTTGAGTTTTAAGATTTCATCTTCTCCCAGAAATCCTCAGGAATTCCATTTTTCTTCCTTAAATTGCTCAGAAACTAAATCCAAGTGAACTTTTGGAGACATTGTCCTGCCCTTCCTGGACTCACCCGTTGCATTTCCTGGATATTTGTGGGGCTTGGTTCCTGTTTGCCTTCCAAATCCCACCTCTGGATACCAAAGGAAAATTTCTACTCCATGTCCCTCAAAATAGATGTAAAACACCATTAGTATACAGAAACTGAGGCTGTTGGATGGTTTAATATTCATGGTAAAACTTATTTTGGACTGATTTTGAATTACTCTAGAGTTTGTCACGTGCAGAACTGCAGTTTACTTTTGCACTAAAGTTGGACAAATGGTTTTCTAAGAAGTTAATAGCGACCTTTCCTCAAATGCAATTAAAAAAAAAAAGATTCAGCATGTACTGAACAGCAAACATTATGCTATTTTTCTAGGGAAAAAATAGGAAATATGGGTTACAAAATAAAGGGGAAACAGTCCCTTTCCTTCACCAGTTCCATTTTTAAAGGGAGTTTCTTTAGAATGTGATTATTTTCCTGGCAGAGGAGTCTGTCATCCGTCACCACCACCTTCCCCACCCTGGTCCCACTGTCGTTGCTGAGATTGTCCTGTGCTCAACACAAGCATCCACCTCCTAAGTCAGGTACTGAAACTTCAGGCCATTAACGAGGCAGTTGGGACAGTTTCTGGGACACTTGGTGCCTTCCACTGTGCTGAAACAGAGGAGGCCATGCCACTGAGCTGCATCCGAAGGTGACCAAGGGAGAGAGATGTGGCCAGAGCAAAGGAAGTTCAAAGAAGCATTATGATCTGCTTGACTTACTTTTGCCTTTCCTTTTTGGAGAATTAAAAAATGAGCCCCCTCATTTCTTTTTATCTTATCATGTTTCACTCTGATATCTATTATTCTATTAGTAGTTGTGCTCAATTAGTTGGGCTCCTAATTTTATCTGAAGTACTGACATTTGCCTCAGTTTGCAGCTTTAAGAAAATGAGTTTGCTGTAGAACAAGGTGGTGATTTTTTTTTTTTTTTAACTCCAGCCTTTCACTGTATCTAGAGGAGAAAACCAGAATCTAGGTTTAAAAATTGGATCATAGGGGAGTTTCTCAATATAATACTAAGTATAGGTAACTTCAGATTTTAAGGTATGCTTTCCCCTGGTACACTTCAATTTATTGGTAAGAAGCTGAAAAGGTCAGTAATTTTTTTTTTAAGTATCTGCAATAGTAGCACCTTCTACAGGCAAAACAAGAATTTATAGTTTGCTTTATGAGGATGTACAAACCCATCCAATAACTAGAGTCTTTTGCTCTTGCAAAGAATACCCTGAATAGTAAGTGAGGAATGTCTCAGGACAAGGCTTTTGGCATCTTGCTAGTTTTTCTGAAGCAAGGCTTCTTAAACTTATTGGGCCTTGGGCATCTTTTTTAAATCTTCTAAGAATTACAAAGACTCTCCCTATAAAAATGCATATCGTATCTCAAACACTATAATTTCAGGTTTTATAATTCCATGGAACCTGGCCCAGGAAAGAACTGGTAGCTTTCTTTATGGCACATTTCATTGATGTGATTCCCTTTCATCCAGGGCCCAGCTGTACCCAGGAGCTCAGGTAGTAACCTTATCCATATATATCTTTGGCTTTAAAGAGAATTAGGAAACCTAGTGCAAATGACTCAACACAAACCCACTCTCCTTCCTTTGTTTCTTTCCTTTCTTCTTCTCCTTAAAAACAGTTCACAGTGTGCCCAAGACTGAGCCGTCGGCATGCCTAATGTATCTCGAATCTTCCTGTACCATGTTGAGGCTCTGGCTTTGTTGACTGGAATTATTCAACTTGATGCTCTGAGGAAATGTCTGAGAAAGAGCAGAATTCTAAGTCAGCTGACTTTAAAAGATGTTTATCTGTACAGTCTTAAATCTATTGAACAGTCATTTACATTTAGAAAACATTTGAGTT